CTGCCACTGAACTATAAATTTGCCCCTAAGCTTCCCAGCGGCCATGTTTGAAGAGAAACCTATTCAATTATATAGTATAACTGTCACCTGTAAGCGGGATTCCCCAACGTTTGTGCGCACCTGAATCACTTGAAGAGCTTATAAAGCTAGAATCACTCAGGCCCACCAACAGAATTTCAAATTCTATAGATCTGGGGTAAGATCCTGGAATTGATGATCTTTACACATTCCCCTTGATTCCCTCAGATAACAGAAAATCAAGTTCTGACAATGATGATTTTTTATATTAAGATCACACAGGACTTTCTACCAGGGAAGGACAGAGGACCTTGTGGAATACAGTGAACATTCCTGCAGGGATTCAAAGGAGAGTTTCAGAGGTCCTCGGGCTGTTGCTTGTAATAACCTCCACAATTGGCTTTTACATAGTTATGGGAAAGTAATTATGTGGAGATTTGGTAAAGAGAGGGAAAAAGACATGTTCTCCAGGAACTGGATTTTTGCCAGTTTGGCTTGACCCAGGGTAGGAACTAAGAAGGATTTTACATCTACTCAATTCCAGCACCTCTGTGTCAGCCCAAAATTAAGAACCCCTTCACAACTGTGTCAGCAAAATATCAAGTCAGGGTTATGTCAGAACTGAGGGGTAGCGACAAACTCTAATATGGTTTTGAAGAAATCTAGTAATCTGATTTTTGACATTTATTCTTGAGGAATTGCATTATCCCCCGGGTTTCAATCGGATGGAGGGAGGAGACAGAAGACGGGGGACAGAAGGAAGTGAGCACCTCCTTATGGAAATTGATTTTCAGTGGACCCGTCATCTAGTGTGTGATTGTGTAGTTTTGGTCATTTCAATTTTGTAGACGAGACTCAAATTTTATTATATTTTCCACATTTCACATCTTGTCGCCTTGAATCTGAAAAGAGTTTGGTGGTGCTTCATAGATTTTTTTTTTAAATGAATGAAGAACTAGATGAGATGGTCTTTTTTTCCCCCTAGGAAATGGGCAACTTGGCCCTGTTTTAGACAATTTATTATATGCACGTGTGCATAAACTGACTGCTGTCAAACCTGGGTACACAATTGCATAAAAGGGTGCTATTAGGTGTTGGGACCTCACTCGTTCAATAAATCTCTGAGGAGGACTTGGTTTTTGCCAAGCATTGAGCCAGATGATGAGAATCCAAGAAAAACCAAAATGCCTCCGTGGTCTTTGCAGTCTTATCTTGACAGATAAGAAGAGGTGATTCTAACATAACATGGTAAGAAGTCTGAGTTAGGAAATGCAGAACACTCAAGGGAGGCTAGAAAGCCATACCTGGGTGGTCAGGGGAGGCTGCTTGGAGGAAGTTACATGTAAGCTGGGAGCTAACACCTAATATGCCGGCAGAAGGTAAGTATGTGACAGAGGGTTAAACAGCTTGGGATGGGCTTCAGAATGGAAGTTGAAGAATGTTACAAAAACAAAACAAAACAAAACAAAAAAACACCACCCAGCTTGTAATGAACATTCCTGAGACAGAAGAGGTATGTTGCTGAAGATGAAAGAAATCCAATCTGACCTCTACATGCTGTATGTGGGACTGGGGATGAAAGGCTGATAGGAGACGGGTCAGATCATGAACGGCCTTGTAATCCACAGTAAGGAATTTGGAGTGTACCCCAAGAGATTTGCGGAGCTATTAAGCTGGAGATCGTTTATTTGCATTTAGAAATGTGACTTGAACCTCGAAATCTCTCTGATCACATCTTTCATCATGCGTAAGGTTGGATTCATTACTTAACCCTTGAAAACCTAAGGGAGTGAGAGATTTAGAATGGAGAACCCCATTGCTTCTTGGAGAAGCTGAGCAGCTCCACAGGTGAACCCTCTCTTGGCTGCCCGAGTTTGCCAGCGCAGGGGTGGCTGGAGTGACTGCTGCCACTCTGAGGTCAGGAGTGCGAGGGCGCTTTGCTGGTTGTGAGATCCTAAATCAATGAGCACATTCACCTTCTTCTGTTACATCCTTCGTCACGTGTTGCACCACTGTACATCCATTACCCAAGCAGACAGGGTCTAAGGAAGAGGAACAGCAGGCGTATTGTGTCAGCGTCCCCTGCGGAGCAGGGGTGGAGCTGCAACACGCTCCCTAAGAAAGCTACGCAGGACACGAGGAATGGTTTTCATGAACGCGTCAGCTATTTGACAGGGCCATTGAAACCTCTTGGTGGAGAAGTGTTGTCAGTATAACAAAATAAAAACATTTCATTTTACATATGTTTATGATTCATGAACCCCTTTTCAAAGCTAAAGCTGGCAGATGACTAAAACCTGAGCCACAATATGTACAGGCTATCAAGGGCTCTGCTAAAGGCAATGAGTTGACCCACAATACAGAGTAATTCAATTTATGAAAAAACTCCCCCTATTTCAATACTATATGGTTAAACTCGAATACTGGCTAGTGAGGTTATCTGAAGGAAAAATAAAATGTTTTCAGAGGTGAAAATGTTTAACATAAAATGATTCTCTATGTGTAGTTCGCCATCTAGTGGTAATTTGCGGAAATAAAAGAGGCTCCCCCAGCGGCAAAGGGATGACTCAAAACCACATTTCCACTTGAAGACACCAACCTGTGCCGGGAAGCCCTCTGAGGCTCGCGGAGCAGGGGAGGCTGCTTCTAAGAAGTCAGGGGCTTCTGGGAAACAGCAGTGTAGCAAACGGTTCTCAATTCCGGCTACCTTATAAAAATGCAGAGGCCCACACTGCAGACAGAGGAAATCAGATTCCCTCAGGTGGGGCCCCGTGATGCATGTTTATAAAGTCCCAGAGAGTCTCCTGTGCGGCCCAGGTGAGGGCCAATGGTAATGGGTTATGGCTGTGGACTCCGGATGGGTCTCCGCGTGAGTTCACCGCTAGTTTGTGTCATCTGGAGCAGGGAAATGGGGGTAATTAAATAACATCTATGTGCCTCGTAAAAGGAGGATAATAACCTCTGCTGGGTTGCTGTGGGGATTACATATGATCATGGATGTCCAGGGCTTAGCACAATGCCCGGGACTGTGCTCAACAAATGTTAAATATTAACATTTCTTATCAAGGGAAATGTTTTATGAGTTATTAAAAGGGATAAACAAAAAAGGAGTTGAAACTACAAACCTTAATAACAAAAACTTCAATTCTACTTTTTATGTAAAATTTTATTCATAATAGTCTTAAATTTAATTGCAAAAACATCTTAGAATAATACAGTATGAAATGTTTTCACTGCACGTGACCAACAGCATAAATATAGAATTATAATACTCAAGCCTTACTCATACATATTTAATGGGTCAGGTATGCACAACAGTAAATTTTACAGAAGCATTTTTCGTTTCCTCAAATACAAGGCTCACACAGCCTGTGACAGAACTTAATAGTCTGTTCACACGTCAAGGACAAGGCTGGGCAATAAATAAATGAATCTTTAAAAGCATCTACGAACCAGAGCAATTTTCTTTTTGAGTCTAATAAGTCCCAAACTAGTAAGGACTATTTAATGGCTGAAGAGAAGCCAGTGGCAACGAAGTTAAATGCAGAATCTGAGACAGAACTAACGGTATTATCAATACAGCGCATCTGCCAAGTTCTAGGTAGCCGGTGCTCAGCCAGATCAGGCTGAACACAGGCGCTTTAAGGGAATCCAAACAAACACTGCAAGTGTCCTGCAAACACACTCACTGCAGAGGGGCTAGCTGGCCGAGTGGTCCCTGAAATGGGAATGGGAAGGAAATGTGAGAAGAAGTGCTGCTGTGAAATAGAAAAAGGACTAGATCACGTTTACTTCAAAACCGGAAGTAACAGTGCAGGACAGTGAGCTCATTACTTTCTGGATCTGTTTGTTATAACTAGGAACTGCTGCCTTCGAAACACTCATTCTTTCAACGCTTGTTTTTGGATTGCCGACTATTTGTCCGGGTGCGACACGTACGCTGATGCACAAGGTTGTCTGCAAAGAAAGAAGCCTTGGTTTCGGCAGTGTTCCTTATGCTTCTTACAAATCCCATTAAATATGGCTTTTGAATCTAAAGAGACATTTTTTCCAAAATGGCAACTTTCTAATGAAGAACGCTTATGTGCACAAATAACACGTCAAAATTTCAGAGGCTCATACAGACTTAGAAACTCTAACTTGCTAATCGATTCCTTCAGTTGCGGTGATATCTACCTCATCCACTGCCTGCGTATTCTCCCCCAAAGTCCATTCTTACACACAGAATTTTTTGAAACATTGAAACAAAGACTTCATCTATTCTTGCATACTAGTCTTAGTAAAATATGGAACAAGTAGCAATTTTTTAATCTGGACATCGAAGACAATTTAAACCAACCCTACTACACAAGTGAAACAGAGGACCTGAATTTTGTGGCGCCCTCAGCGCGTCAGCCAACCTGGGGAGGGGACGCCGCTGCCCGCGAATGAGGCGGCTGGGATCAGTCCGCATCGTCTCTTTGGAAAGGCGCCACCTGAATTTCTTTGGCTATCCTTTCCGCTAAGGTTTTACTGCCTGCAGCAATTACTCTTCGCGACATCAAATCAAATGGTCCACCTAAAATCAGATCAAATATGAAAATGGTTACATCCCGTAACAGAAAAATTCTTATAATGCTAGTATAGCGATATGTACTATGGTCAATCCTAACATTTCAATACTTTTAAAAAGCTACTCTGTCACACAACCATAATATTTAAGCTCTGGCAATACATAAATGAGTTTCTAAGCATCTTTTTTTTAGTAAATACCAGTTTTTGGGGGAGGGGAGTCTTAAGCACACCAGTATAAAAAATGTCACCTTTCTCTTTCTCTTTCTTCTTTTGTGCATTTGTATTATTCTTATAACCTCTTTAATGTTTGGGAATCTAAGGACAAGAAATCTGACTTCAGTGCATTTTTATACCGCGCTTTTTCCCATTTCCTTATTTCTTCGTTGCCTTTCTCCCAGACTATTGGTGAATTCGTTACACCCAGGTTCACCCTTCACTTTTAAAAACGTCACCATCAGTTCAAAGTATTTAAACCTCTCCAGGCCCACGGAAGAAGTCCATCCTCAACGACCAGTCAACATTCAAAGAGCTCTTGGTACAATCTTCAGGTTCAGGAACCTTCTAGACTTTTTCTAGAGCCTCTCAAGAGCCCCTGCTACCCACACTTGAAGAGGTTTGGCCACTTATCATTATGAGCTGAAGTACAGCAAAAATCGAACATTCAAAGGCAAAAGCTACGTAAGAAGGGAAGTCCAGCAGATGTGGAGAGAGCAGCGCCTCGCCGTCCCGTCACTCTACCTGTCACGTCCATCAGCACGCCACCAGCTTCAGTGACAATGATGCCAGCCCCTGCCATGTCCCAGCAGTGGATGCCCATCTCGTAATACGCGTCTGCCGCCCCACTGGCCACAAGACACATGTTAACAGCTGCCGTTCCAACGCCTCGGATCCTAAGAAACAGCGTTCAAAGTGAGATGGGAGAAGAGAATTCTTTCAGATAAGGCCCTCCTCCTTAACTTCGGGTCAGTTTAACTGTTGACTAAGAGAATTTGAACCAATCTAGAGGATGTGCGTAAAAAAAGGTCCTATCTAATTTTAAATTAAAAATACATAAAATCTAATTACCGTGGTGCACTACATAAATGACAAACAATCCTCACGTGGCAATTTAGTAAGATAAACATTAAAACCATGATGTTTTCTGGGAGAAAAACTGAAGAAAATATTCTAATTCTACTATCATGGCACGCGTGTGTATATTCACGCCTGTCTAAACCCAGCAGAAAGGACTATCTTTGGTATCACTAAGATTCGAATTTGCTGCCCTGCTCAGCTGCTTAAACGCTGTAATTTGAAAAAGTTTCTTCTTCAAGTTGTAGCTTTCTTGTTATCAAATTAGGGACACCAGCTTCCAGGTCCACTGTTGTAATGACGATAAACAGGAGACGTGCAGTGCCCAGGAGTGGGCCAGGCACATGAAGAGGCAGCGATAACGAGGAACTATGTTTGTGATGAAATTACCCCCAAATACGCTGCCAGGAAACATGGAAGTAAACAGACACAGTGCACTTCATCTAAACGAGTCCCCAGAACTTAGACAAGGGAAATGGAGCTACAAAGGTTCACTCTGCCTCCTAAATGTCATTTCCTAATTAGAAACCTATGAGACGCAAATTCAAATTAGGAATCTCTTGAGTTTCATTTGTTTTTGGATAAGTAATGGTTCTGAGTTCATACTGAAAACTGAAGAATCAGACGAATGCAGAAGATCCCAGTATCTCTGTGCTTCTCCTTGGTAACACTTCTGAAAAAACCCTGAACTAGAAGTCATGTTTACTTTTGACTCCAGGCAATGGGAACGGATGGTGACAGGTATAACTGCAAGTGACAGGTATAAAGCACTTGCAGCCCTTTCGAGCTAACGTAACCATTTTATTGCCCACCATTCAAGTCCGGGCACCCGACTGACTGGCACTCGGGATGCGGGCTTCCGAACTGTCCTGCACTCCCTCAGGACATCACTCTGGGAGGTTCCGCAGCGACCTGGCAGGGACACGTCTCTCACTTTCCTCATTACTACACAGATCACAGATTTACAGCCCAGAACAAAGTTTGTACAGTGGCACACCACACACTGGTGCCCTGACTCCCAAAGCCAAGCTTAGTATGGGCAAGAGAAGTGTCTGGAAGTCGGGCCCAGTCGCATCGCCATCTAGCTGGGCACTTTCTGGTGGTCACTTCCCGCTCTGAACCCCAGTCAACTCACTTAGGAATAAGGCTGGATTAAACTCACTTAGGAATAAGGCTGGATTATTAGGTGTTCTTGAATCAGGTCTGTCTTATCACTCGGGTGATGCCATTTTCAGGAAAAAAGGTAGGAACAATTGGCAATGAATTAAAATCACAAAAACCTGTGGTTACTCAACAGCTTTATTATTTTTATTTTTCACGCAAATAACTACAATAAAGGTCAGGGAAGTGCTATTTAACTTCGCCCTCAACTATATTAAATTTAAGGACCTCAAACCGCTAGCTTTTCTTGAAATTTAAAAAATATGTGTGTGCAACTATTTAATATTTGCTTTTAATTTTCTGCTTATAAACCTTTCACTACAAAACGACTGAGTTTGGAGGATAAGGGCATTCTGTGTAAATCCCCCTACTACCTTCCCCCCAAAATAAAAATAAAATACAATCAATATGAAGGAGGACCAATAAAACCCACAGGAGCCACACCTTCAGCAATTCTAGGAATCAGAAAACACAAATTCTCAAACTCCCTCTAAGCGGAGGGAAAAACAAACACGAGAACCCTAAGGAGCACTGCAATCTTGTGGATGCGAGAGCTGGGAGAGGAGGCAAGAGGCTCTGATATAAAAAGCAGACGGGGCAGAAGCCCCGGGGGACAGATGAAGCCGCCCCAGGAAAGGGGAAGGCGGGACAGCCACACCATCAGCGTCTGGTGCTTCCCAGCCTGGCTGCAGGGGAGGGGCTGGAAAACACGCAGAGCCAAACCTGGCTGCCGCAGGGAGAATCTGGTAAGATAGAAGAGGTTATTCCACGTCTGTGTGGAATCTAAAAACAAAAACAAAAACCTCTGAGCTCACAGATCCAGAGAACAGATAAGTGGTTGCCAGAGGCAGCGGGTGGGGGTGAGTGGAATGGGTGAAGACAAACTTCCAGTTAGAAACTCAGTCAGCCACGGGGCTAAGGTACAGCATGGTGACTATGGGGAAGATGCTGTGTTGGATCTTTGAAAGTTGCTAAGAGAGATCTTAAAGGTTCTCATCGTAAGAAAAATATTCAGCAACTACGCATAGGGACACATTAACTAGACTTATTGTGGTGATCACTTTGCAATATATACAAATATGGAATCATTATGTTGTTCATCTGAAATTAATATATGTCAATTATACCTCAGTAAAAAAGAGAGGGGGTATCTCTTGGAGACAATGAAGAAAGAGTTGGAACTAAAAAAAGAAAAATTAAGGATCCTGCAGAAATGAAAGAGAAACAAGACATGCCAGCCGCCCTCCACCCTTAACAGATATTCATACAAGAAAATGCACAGAAGGCAGAGCTGACAGACTAAGGATCAGGATTCCTAAAACCAGAAACCCTGATCACACAATGAACAGAAATGGAAAAAGGTTTCCTCCACACGAAACATCAGACATTGCTAATAATTAGTATATGGCTTCCACCTACATAAATTAAGAGCTGTCGAAGTTGCCAGGGGAAATACAGAGAAACACACTGAAAATTCAAGACTTGAACATACACTCTCAGTATATGAGACAGGTCAAGTCGACAAAAAAATAAACAACATAATTAGGCAGATCTTCTAGCACTGTATCAAACATTACACCCTGATAGAGGGTATACTTTTTGCCAGTGCGTATGCAACTTTCATAAAAATTGATCATGTACTAGGGCACAAAAGAAAACATTAGTCCCATAAAGGAGATTTATAACAATGTAATAAAACTACAAATTAAAAATGAAATAAAAACACAGAAAGCATCTCCTTGTGGAAATTCCAGAACACCACTCTTGAGTGAAAGGGGAAATAAAAACAGAAGTTCCAGGTTTTGTGAAAAATCACTATCATGAAAACACTACATATCCGAATATGGGATACATTTAAAGCAGTGGTCAGATAAAAAGTCACAGCCTAAATACTTACATCAATAAAAATCAAAGAATAAAAATAAATTCTCTACTCAAA